TTCGCGCAAAAAAAAGTGAACATGCTTGTCTGAAATTTACGGTCTAAAAATACCTTCAATAAAAGAGAGAGAGAGAGATAGAGAGAGAGAGAGAGAGAGAGAGAGAGAGAGTGAAACAAATGGAAAGATACAAATGAATTCCATCAATAATTATAGAATATCAGTGGAGATAAGTATCTTTCATAATAAAAAATCCTTCCAGCTGAAGGAAAACACGCAATAAACATTGTGTTCAATTTGACACCGAATAGAACTGGAGGATTCTGATTTTTTAAATAAGCAACTGAAAAAAATTGATTTATTCTCTGTAGACAATTGAAATTCATAGAAATGTTCTCAATTCAATCGAAAATGCCAGAATAATAACATAACGAACGTTAAAATAGATTTAACACCCAAATACTATCAAATTGAGAAGATGCTCAAAATAAAGGCAAGCGATCCCTTCTGTGAGACAACACTGAAATTGTGTTGCAAAGGATATGATCTACTTTTATTTATGTGTACACATTTATTTCCGATTACATCCCGTAGAAAACCAGAAGTATTAACTCTTGTAAATATTGGTTCGCTTTTGATTGTTGACCAAGCAATAAAATGCGATTGTTTGTTTAGCTTTTGTATGATGTCAATGACAAAAGGAAAATGTTGGGTAATTTAATATTAAATTGAAATCCGATTTTCGTGCGTGTGGGTCAATTTGTACAAAAGTGACATTCAAGTTGATTGGTGTACTTAGTGTTTGATTTATTCTGATGCGACCACTTATTTCCTTTTTTTATTATTTTAAATACCAAAATTTATGTGGTCTCTTGCTTTTCCATTCATAAGCGTTAAAAGAGAAAAATGAAACTCTGAAGAAGATGTTGAAAATGACCGTTTCAATTTGATTCTTTGTGCAGTAGAAAAAAAAACGGAAGTAATATATTTTTTTAGTTGTTCGCTTTTGTGGTAATAATTTCGGATTGCCACAGTTGCGCTATAGCGAATCACACAATTAAATCCATGGTGACACACAAAAACCAAACTCAAAATAAAGCACTCGTAATGTTGAAGGAGAAAATGAGAGATAAGATGTGAATGAATTCAATGTACTTATTGCTGATCACGTATCAGGTAAAAATGTAAACCAATTGACAATGAACGGATGAACCCAAGAGACACAACGAACAATTCACTCGAAATAGAAACCAACGAGACAATTGACATCGCGGTGAATGGATTTCATCCCATTCAGCTAATCTTCTCTCATTCAACTCAATGAATGCTAGTTTCTTTTACAGTTGAAATACCAAAGAAAAAAACGATTTGAATGAAGTGCAATTTATATCCGCATCATTGTAATCGAATCGAGAATGAAGTCATTCAGAAGGAGAGTAGAAGCAAATACACTTTGGAATCTTTTACGAAAAGTGCCAAAATGAGGAAAATTAATTCGAGTGATTTATTTTCCTGACTTTCAACCTTTTGCATTTCAAAGAATAAAATATCGTTTTATTGTTCTTGACAATGGCATTTTAGTTATTTTTGAAGACTTTTAAGCGATTGTTTGCAAACGCAAATGATGTCATTCAAACGGTTATAGATATGCTATTTTTTAAGTTCCTCTAGTTTCAAAACTATTTCGACATATCAATTTACATCAATTGATATGGTTAGAATAAAAAGTGGAACACATGCTGCAGCACTTTTTTTGAATGCGACTTTACATATACTTATAAAAAACGATGTGTTTCAGTTTCAGAAATTTTTATTTCCAGTCGGGTTTTTATTCTAGCTTACTCAAGATAACAACCGAGATGTACCAGGACTTGATTTCACAATTGTATATTTGTTTGCTAGTTTGTTTGTCTATGGTCTGCAACAATATCGCTATTTTTGCATGAATCATTATGAGCCCTACTCGTCACCCAATTTACAGAATTTGAAAACATATTTAACAAATATCAATATTTTCGCTAAAAGTGTATTTATTGGGTGTTGAAATAATTGAAAAACGAACTGTTTATTTAATTCATTTGTATTTGATCAAATGGATTGAACACGAGCACGACAATTAAAAAGCAACAAAAAAAAAAAACATTATCGTAATCAAATGTTTCACAACAATTGAAAAAAGCTATGATTTCTTTCGTTTGCTTGATACAACGGTTGTATTACAACCCATAGCTGATTTTGTGTACAAAATCTCGCTGGGTACTATCAATTTGAGAACTGATTATATTTTAAAAGAATCACACGATTCAGTGGCAAAATGTTTGAATTGTAACTTGTATACAACAACATTGACAATATTACCAGTCGACTAGCCGAATTTAGCCGTCTGGTTCTTTGACTATTTACTTAATTGCATTGTGAGAAAAAAGAACATTAATGAAAAAAAATGCACATAAGAATTTTTATTGATCGAAACTATCATAAAATAAAAATTAAATTCAAACTCTTCTTTCAATCAGTTTCGAATTCTATACAAGGCACATGAACAAGAAGATGGAAATTCAAATTTATCTTTAATAATTTGGTTATTGGCGCCCAAAGAGACTAATTCACGATAAGTGTATTGTTGTTTACATGCGGTGACATAGCCAGATGGAACAAAGTTGTTTAAATTATTACATGGCTGTCCTATGTTTTGACACATTGAAATACGTATACCTTGTCTATGCTCTGGCGTATTGACGATTAACATATCCACTCCCGCAGAAGTCTTTCCAATGGTCGGATAAATGATGTCTTCATAAGTTTCGCATAATGTTATTTCTTCATAATTATCTATTCAATTGAAAATGAAAATTAGTCGAGAATCGAATGTAAAAGAGCACAGACAGTGATTCAAATTTATTACCATTTTTGAAATCAAAAACAATTGTACTATTTTCCATCGATGACGTTGATTCTATCACAATTAGTAAGTTAATCACACTCAAAAGGCAAATGTTCAATGCAATCGTAGTCATGTTCTCAGATTACTCTTTCTTTATTCTTCCTGAAAATGACAATACTTGATTTTTAATTCAAACGCAAAATTAAATTTCAAGCGGTTTTTTTCCTATTTAAGAAATCAATATTTTTGTAAAAATTCAAACAGCTTACAGCGAAAAGAGACTTCACTCAATGAACGATTCGAACAAATCAAAATTCAATTTAAGTATAAATAAGAGCTCGCGTTCATGGAGATAAGAGCAATTTAAATGATGACCGCAGGAACTTTGCTACGTGAGCGTTTTTTATTCAACCATTTGGCCATAGTATATTCATATCGTCTGATACATAATTCTTTTGTTTAAAAACTTTTCGTTTCACATTGACGGTCAAGGTCAGAAAAATATATTCAAAAATTTTAAAATATTAAGTTTTTCGTTTTGGGAAGGCTATGGCTAATCAAGAATAATTCTAAATGTTTTAAAACCATAAAAAATGTTGCTGCAAAATGCCAACGTTGGCATTTTTTAATTCTTTAACTCATTAAAAGTTTCAAATATAAGGACAGCTTATCACAATAGATTTTCAGGGGTACGGAAACTTCCAATGCCAATGCCAATTATGATAATTATAATGCATTTTATTAATTTTGTTTTGATTGTCATTCGTGAATTCTTCCATTGCTCGATTCAGAGGGAGAGTATGTTTGTTTCACTTGATATTCATATGTGTTAATATTAAGAGATCATGTGTTCAGGCGATTTTTATTATTATTGATTGTTTTGGTGTTTTTCACAAAGTTAAAGAGAAAAAAATGATCTTCTTTTTCTCTTGTAAGCAATATTAAATCGCAAAGGCAACATACTCTCTTTTTTCAAAAAAAACACACTTTCCTCGCGAATTAAGCGATAGACATTATGTCTCTGAACTCTGAAATCATGTTATTAATGACAAAATGAACGGTCATTTAGTAAATGATATTACTGAACATATCTGACAAATGTTTTTAGGATTTTTAACCTGAGTGAAATTACCTTGTGTTTTTCCAAGTATATACTTAAGATTCGCGGCATATAGAAGGAATTATATGGCTTGAGTTGTAAACTAGTCAACAATAACATTTAATTCGTGAAAATTGATTTTGAATGACATTTTATTCAGGATTGTTGAAAAAAGTATTTAGGTAGAACAAAATACTCAGCCATCCGTATTCAATCAAGTGTACAACAGAAAAGAAGCAATCAAATACATACGTGAATTCAGATAAAATTGTTTGTCAAACCAATAAAATCAAAATTTGCAAAGAAATTCTTTGCGTCAACTTACGCGCGTTTAAAGTTCACGGGGATTCAACCGTCAGATGAATCGCAGAAGTATTCTAACCACGCACTCTGCTCGCACTCCATTTAAAGCAATGTATTGGGTTTCGAACACGCAGATATGCTGCCACCTGGTATCTCAAAGTTAAGATGCTATAACGCACATGCTTCTTGTAAATAAAGAAGAAGAGGAGAGCAATGTCTTTACATGGGGTTGAACTTATAAATGTCAGAGAGCAGCACAACTGCAGTGTTCAAAGTGCGATTGCCCTTCGATTCTAACACCGAATCAGTTATGAGAAAATCAGTGGCACTTTCTTTCTTTGTGCTATGGGCCATTTGTTCAACAACATTTCTATTGTTTATGGCCAATGACTTCAGGGTGTACGCGGACTCATTTTATACCACCATCACGGCGTATATGAGATTGGGAACTTTTTTATGCGAACGCAGCTGATCAGCGCCACCTCACATTAGTTCTAATTAGATCGAAAAACTGAATTTAATTCTGTAGCATTGAAATGGAAAAGAGAAAAAACAACAACAATAGCACGGCCACACAGAGCTGTACATCTATGCGCGCTGATGCATACATACACATATACGCTTTCTTAATTCTTTCATTCCATTGTTATACGTATCTCACTGGTCAACAGATCTATGTAGCCATGTTACTGTTGTTGTTTCTTTTCTCTTTTTCGATTCAATTCATTGTAACTAAATTGAGTTCAACTATGGAATACAAGATGGCACAAATGAGGGGAATTCGCATTTTGTCTCTTCATAGGCTTAGCCGGTTGGTCGTTGTATGGAAAATTGACACAATTTTCAAACTAATGGATCAATTTGAATATTATATCGAAAAACGTGAGTCAAATTATGTGAATTTCCCAAATTAAACTATAGGATTGCTCAAATTTCTTTGGTTTTTTGTTGCTAATGTGAATCGCTTTTATTAAAGGTTTGAAAAATTCTGAATCAAAGTTAAAGTTATATTTGTGGCTAGTAAAAGTAACAGTAACCGGACAATTGATGCTGAATTTGATAATCAGCTATTTGCTTTACTTCACAACCGATTTGGGAGCCGACACCTTCAACTTTCCCCATCAAATTTGGTGAGAGTCTTGCAAGTAAACTAAATTAATCCCGGATTTTCTGCATTTTTATAAGTATATTTTCATTGACAAAGGGTGCCATTTGATTGCAGAACGCCGTTTGCATTTTTGATTGTTTATTGTTTTCAAATTGTTGCATGTTTTTGTACATGTTATATTAGTTTGGTGGCAGCATGGTGTTGGATTCTAATGTTGTTGGTCGATGAATTGAAAGAAAAACTAGCCGTTCTGGATGCGACTTCAAAAACTATGGAAAATTCGTTGGTTCTTAAAAGAGGATTTAATGAATTTATTGAATTTCATGCATATGAACAAAAGTTGAGTGTTCAATTGTCTTGAAAATACGTGAAAAAACCAATGAAATCTCTTATTTTAGACTTGCTCATGACTTTTCCAACATATCAGAGCCCATATCAGGTATTTCAGTATTTCAGCTGGAGTGTTGTGACCATTTGTAGGTAATATATTATTGAACATGTATTATTTTTTATATTTATGCACTAATTTTATTCATAACTTCTATTTAGCTGCCTCTTAGCGTTTCAGATGGAAATGGTGTGTATTTTGATAATTGATCTTTTGCTCATTGGAAAGATTTGATTTGGTTTTATAGCAGTGTGTCCATAACATATAGAAATAGCACTAAATAGTGTCGATATCTATACTATATCGGTGCACTATATATGGAATATATTTCCGCAAGACACCGTAACTCACAATCGAAGTGAGTGCGGACGGCAAATATTTTGACGCATACACCGGGTAGGAATATCAAAACGTATTTTGTACTGAAATGTCACTTTTGCAAAAAGATTTTTACATCCTACCGCCATCTACTTTCGTATCGATTACTATTCTAATATCAAAACGAAATGAATCCACAAATATGTTTCTAGTGGTTAATTTAATGAATATTATGATTGCCAATCTTTTAAAAAAATGTTTTATTCATAAAAAATATTAATCGGCAATAAAAAACGTGAATGCATCGTTTTAACAAGTCGAAATATCAAAAGCATTCACTCAATAAAGATGTGTATTGTGAGAGCCAACTTCAGACAGATTGTATATATGTGACAACTATTTTTTGACATTTGTAAAACCAGCAATTAGGTGTTTGTGTTTCAACTATAAACATTAAACATGCGAAAAGTAATTTTGCTCAAAAAAATTGCGACATATTTTGCTCGAGACCGCACAATTTAAAGGCACATTTTCTTCAAATGTAAGTATTTTGAAAAAATTGTTGATTGATCTATTCACACGTTCACAGATAATAGATCATGGTTCGGCAACAGCTGATTCAGCAAAAGCTGATTCGGCAAAAGCTGATTCGGCAACTTCTGATTATGTGCGAGCAAAATATGTCGCAATTCGGGCATTTGAATTTTTTCTTCATTGGCTGGTGAACATTTTCGACGTGTTCCCGCAAAGTTTGTAAACGAATGAACGATTTTTCGCACATTCCACACTTCTAAATTTCAGGGAAAAAATGAAAGTAAAGCACAAAAAACAACCAATAATGAATCAAAAAAATAAAAATGTAAAAATTAAGAAAAAAAGTCACAGTAAAATGATGATTAATAAAAAGAAGCAAAATTACTTTTCGCATGTTTAATGTTTATAGTTGAAACACAAACACCTAATTGCCGGTTTTACAAATGTCAAAAAATAGTTGTCACATATATACAATCTGTCTGAAGTTGGCTCTCACAATACACAACTTATAGGTTGGTGGCGCTAGGAGTAAGTTTTTTTGAGTGCTTGCTTTTGATATTCCTACCCGCATACACACAGTTCTTTCTACTGCTGCACGGCAACTTGTGATTTTTCCCGTCTACACTCACTTCGATCGTGAGATACGGTGCCGTTCGGCAATATCTTCCATATATAGTGGACCGATATAGTATAGATATCGACACTATTTTGTGCTATTTCTATATATTGTGGAGACACTGTTTTATAGTTACGCAGTACAGGTAGCTCAACCGAATTAATAAAACCATTGATTTTGGCATTTTGGTCGTTTGCTTTGGTTTATATTGTGTGTGAATTTGGCGAAAGCCTAACAAATCGTTTCGATAAATTGAATGATGATATATGTCAATGTAATTGGTATTCTTTTTCAAATGAGATCCAACAAATGATACCAACATGTTTAATGATTGCTCAGCAGTCAATTATTTTTCGGGCATTTGGGAATATTTCATGCACTTGCGATTCATTTAAGAAAGTAAGTTAATCGGCAAAGCATTTAGCTATAAATGCTTAAGATTTCAAATATCTTAATTTTTTCAGGTGGTTAACGTTGATTTTTCATATTTTATGGTTCTTCGCGAATTTGAAGTATAACTTGTTTATTAATAGTAGACGAATTGGCCAATGAATTTTAGCCATGATTTTAGCATTCTATATTATTTTAACGATTATTTCAAAATATAAAAGCAAAAATATTTGATTTTGTTGCACGGTCAGACTTACGGTATTAGATGTCGTAGTAGCGTTTAAAATAGAATACACCCACTGTATTAATGTAATACTTATGCTTTTTTTAGTTTTAAGTTCATTTGAAATAAATGCTTGAGAATGATTGTAACGCTTCTCCCAAGATTAATATTTAATAAAAAAATGACGGCAGAAGTTCGACAGTTGTCGTAGTTCAGACAATCAACTCATTTTTTTCACATTGACCCAGTCTGATTTCGTTGAATGTTGCATGTTATGAAGAGTTTTTAATCTTGTCCTGAAATAGAAAAAAACGGCACGTTTGGTAATGAATTTTTCACAATGTTATTTATTTATAACAACAATAATTCGCTAGTATTGAGTCCAATATATTCTTATCATATGATTAGTATATCATTTAAAGAAATAAATTGGAATTTATAATAACAAGCATGTAAGTTTATATTTATAAAGTTTGGAAACTGATTCTGAAGAATAATTGATTAGTAATTTTATCTTGGTGCAAACCAGAGCATGAAATCGCACTTGTGAAGCGTATTACAAGCAATCCATACTAACACATACATGGAGCAGCTCCTAGCAAGCGCGTTCTTTGTGAAGGACGATTTCATACTATGATGCAAACAGCCAAAATGATAGGTTGATTCAGTGAATTAAACACTTGTTTTGTTTCATTTTCATAAGAATTTCATTTTAATTATGTGCCACCAGTGATATATTTAAAAAAATATATTATTGCCATATAGCTTCTTTTGTGCACAGAATCTCGCTGGTTACTATCAATATTACCTTTGTTTCTAAAAGAATCGTTTCATAATACGGTGAAAAGTAATTGATCAAAAGTAAAACTATGTCATACATGAAAGAAAATACAGTTTAATCAAATATTTAGAGCATATTGAATGCTCTTTGAGAAGAGCATCTAATATATAAACAGATTATCTAACGAAAATCATTTGATCCCAATTTTTATTGATCAAAACTATCATTAATTCAAAATTAAATTCCAACTCCTCTTTCAATCAATTTTTAATTTTGTACAGGGCACATGAACAACAAGCCGGAAATTCAAATTTATCTTTTATAATTTGGTTATTGTCACCCAAAGCGACTAACTCACGATAAACGAATTGTTGTTTACATGTGGTGACATAGTCATTTGCAACTATTTTGTTCAAAATATTACATTCAATTCCTGCGTTTCCGCACATTGAAATGCGTACACCTTGTTTCTTTTCTGGTGTATTGATGATAAAACGATCCACTCCCATAGAATTTGTTCCAATGATCGGAAAAATTACATCTTCATAAGTTTCGCATAATTCAACTTCATCCTGATTCGGATCAAAACGGGTTTCTATTTCTGTCATCATATCACTGCCAAATACATCGTCATATTTATGTGGTTGGCGGTCCAGTAACTGCTGTACAATCCGAGTTGGATAATTATCGGTTTTTGTGCAATATGTCTGATTGTTTTCAGCACAATCTTTCACATTTGCAATAATTCGATTCGTTGTAACTATTTAATTTGAAATGAATATTGATTATGGCCATGGTTAAAAAACAGAGAAATAAATTTCAAATTTATTACCACAATCTTGTTCACTGGGAAATCGAATTATATCATCAGTATTTGTGATACGGGATGATGTTAGTTCTCTCACAATTATTAAGTAAATTACACTCAAAACACCAATTCTCAACATGTTCTCGAATTATTTTGTGTTTACTTCGGCAAATTCCAATGCACAATTTTTTTTATTCGAACTAAAACTGCGCCTTTTGAAGTCAGCTTTTGAAAAAATGAAAAAAATCACAGCAAAAATTAAATATGAACTTCACTCTATTTGTGTCAATAAAAGAGTGAATATATGCATTTAATTTTGGGCGGACCAAACTTCGTTAAATATCAGTATGTGCGGTATACATGGAGATAAGGGCAATGAAGATGATAACCTTTGAATGGTTTTAACTGAAATTTTGAGTTACTTGCTCAATTCAATGAAATACATGAAAAAATAACTGAACATGTAAAAAAGATCCAAAAAGTCTTGATTGAGCACGACAAACCAATGATTTTCACGCTTACACCAAGATTCACAATTCAATAATTTCTTGGTTTCATTGGGATTTTTGCCAAGAATTAGGTGTTTATTGTGCTATTGAACTGTGGTATGTATAATCACTTCGAATTCTGCGAGATTCTGTGTTCAATTCACCGAACAATTTATCTCTGCATATAGTCAAAACAGATATGCATATACACAGTAAGAAAATATCAGCCGACGCTATACGCAAAACCAACTGGTACGTGCACTCATACGTTTTTACATCTTTTACATCTAGTGACCATACGATTTTTCGACTGATTCGTTACTCTTTGTGCGTATCTTCGCACAGTCGAAAAATCGTATGGTCACTAGATGTAAAAGATGTAAAAACGTATGAGTGCATGTACCAGTCGGTTTTGCGTATAGCGTCGGCTGATATTTTCTTACTGTGTAGCGGCAGCCAATATTTTCGCTGTCACTCGACACATTTTAATTAAAACTTAAATCTACTATAACCGAAAGATTTTGTCACAACAAAAAATCTGAACAAATAATTGAAATCTGTTTTGAATTATTTGCATCATAATTATTTAACCCTCCTAGGTATAGAGGCAAAAAATTGAATAAAAATCTAAGTAAATTAAAAAAAATCAAAATTTCTCGGGCAGATTATTCGTACAGAAGATTATAATTCATGTGCATACTGTTTCTATCATAAAATAATTGTATATGTTGTGGACATTTGATAAAACCAAATCTCACCTAGAACGTATAGTGGCGGTCCATTGGACCGCCCATACAAAATGTATGAAAACCTCATATAAACATTAAAAAATAAAACAATTCAAAACTGTAGACAAGCACATTTTGAATTTTGCGTTATAAAACGGTGCATATAGAGAAGATTCACCAATGTAGCAAAGAATAAAAAAGAAAGGATGTGTTTATATGTGTATATAAGGTAAGACACACACACATGATTCGTTCGCTGTTGATCAAAAATGTGGTTTCTGGAGCTGAAATCAACACATTTTATAACAGCACAAAAGGTGACATTGATCAGTTAGATCAACTGTGTCACAGCTATTCATCTCAACGAGGCAGAAATCGTTGGCCTTCATTCATGAACTTGACCAATGTATGTGTACTCCACATTGTGGACTCGCTGCGTTCATTGTTTATAATGAAACACATGGAATTACACGAGATCGATATTCATTTCAACGCAAGAAATTTTTGATCGAATTATCGGAAGCATTGGTGTATGATCAAATAGCACGCAGATCCACTTATGGATTTAATAAAGCGCATCGAGCTGTACCCAGCACAGTTCAACAGCACCGTCAACTTCAACAACGCAAACCAAACAAGATAAAAAAAAGTGCATGTCATTTATGTCCCACTAAAATCAATCGAAAGACGCGAACACAGTGCAGCAAATGTATGAAACATGTTTGTGGTGAACATTCCGAAAGAATTGTGATGTGTACGAACTGCACCAAAAAGCGTCCGTATGAAACTGCATCATCAGATTCCAATTAATTTTGTCATAATTTCAACAAAAGAAATATATAATTTTGTTCATTTCATAGACTTTTCATACATTTTGTATGTCCAATGGACATCTGTTTTGTACATCATGACTCTATCCGTTCAAGTTTTTTTTTTACTCTATACCTAGGAGGGTTAAATTAATGAGTATCTGAATAAAATCTAATACCAATATTTCTTCACTCACTCGCAACCAAAAAAATTTACTTTGTTCGGCAACGTGTTATCAGTCTGATATTCTGCAAATGCCTCATTGTTTATTATTTAATTCATCTATCAATATGTGCCCAAATTTGTATTTATCCAACTGATTACACAATTACACGGAAATTCTTTTATTTGAACTTTTTGCATTCTTTTATTTGAATATTAAATTTTGAACAATACGCAACATTTTTGTCTTAGAAATTGTATAAAAGAGGTATTGTTTCCAGTAGATTATCATTCGTGTTTCATTAACTTATAGAAGAAGTTAAAGTAAATTACAACAAAATGAAAGTCTTGGCAATTTTCGTTGCTCTTATTTTTATATTTGCAGTATATACACACACAGCAAACGCTAAACCTCAAGGAGAACCATCAAGAGAGCATGAATCCGAATCAGAAGACGAAGAATTCCCTCGACCACCACCACGAGGTCCGCCTTTCCGAGGATTTGGAGAGTATCGCCATTCCCCACCTTCACCACCACCAGGATTCCAAGATTATCGCCTAGAAGAAGACTCTGATGATAAAAGCACGTCTCAAGAAAAAGAAGCCCAAGAAGAAGTGATTGAACACGATTTCAATGAAGATACAACTACAACTACAGCTCCCAAACTCCAAGGAGGAGAAGCTGGACACAATGACGTTGAAGATATAATTCCTAAGCCCAAAGATACAGTTCCTAAGCCCCAAGAAGGAGAATCTGGACGCAATAATATTGAAGGTATCTCTCCAGATACAATTACTAAGCCCCAAGAAGCAGAACATAAACCAGATGTCGTTAAAAATGCCGCTCCAACGCAATGAAATTGATGCACTTGATTAAAAATAATTTCAAATTTTTGAGAATTTTAATGAGCTAAAATAATAAATAATAAAATGCTTAATCTAAAACAAAAATTGAACTACTCTTCTCATAAAAGACAAAACGATACTTTTTCAGCCCACATTCAACTCAGGTGATTCGAAATTTATTTACAGTTCAACATTAACATTTGACGTTTCCATAAGTGGCGAATGCAAATTCAAAACATTATAGATTTCATACAAAATTTGATACTGGTCAAAATTAAGCATAACATAAGAAACTTTCAACTTTATAAAAACTCAAAATACAAAGTTGAATTTAAAGTTAAAGCGTCTAAATTTATATTTAATCAAGTCCAACTAAATGTGCAATTAGAAATTCAGCACCTTGAACATATGAATGAATACAAGTTTTATTATAAATAATAAATTATTATGCAATCGGTTGAAAAAATATTTTATAACTAAAAGAGCAATCTTTGTCTAGTAGATTATCATTCGCGTTTCATAAACCTGAAGAAGAAGTTAAAATATATAAAAACACCCTGACATTTTTCGCAAACTTTTCTTTTTGCCACTGACTTTACACCACATGGTTTCAGACCAATACTTGATGAATCAAACGTCAGTTGGTACAGGATGACATTGATTCCAGCGATTTTAGTGAAATTGTTACAAATCCATCTCTTAAAAATATTCACGACATCACTTTAAAACAATGACTCAGAGTAAATATATTTTTTTACAATAAAAAGCAATTAATATACGCTGAATCTATTCATTTATTCCGGACGATTATGTTCATAAGATTTGTATTTTAAATGCATATTGCTCATTTAATTTAAATAGCTCACCATAAAACATCAGTAGGATAGTCTGCAGTGTAAAGTTTGTCTATTGGAAAATAAAATGAAATCATGAGACTTTTGTCTAAAAAGTTGTTCAAATCAAATATAACGAATATTTATTCGCAGTTTTTATTTCATTTTACAATTGGTTTAAAATCATTTTAGCAAAGGACTAATATCTATTTTCCAGCTGAAGCTGATGCGCTTGCGGTACACTTGGCGTGCTCACATGATGAGATGCTTGAAGATGTTGACGTTTCTTCAGCGCCGGCCAAAACTGCAAAAATTCCAAAAACCACGGCGAAAATTCGAGATAATTTCATGTTGTCTTGTCCTTCCTTTGACTTATTTGAATAAAAGCTTTGAGAGTACAATGTTCATTTAAAATTTGAACACCTTTTTATACCAAATGAACTTGTTTTGAAACTTACGTAAAACAGCAATTACGTAAGTTTGTTTTTCAGCAAAAATATGTTTACATCGAACTCATAACAGACTCTATTTTATTAATACGTGAACACGCGTGAATTTTTCTACAAAATTCGAAAAAGCTGTTTTTTCAAGAAATGCTCTTTTATTTATTCATTCAATGCCAAGTTCTTATAAAAAAACAACCATGGAAAAAGCGCCTATGAGTGTATGTATTTGATCACACTATGAATAGAAAATTGAAACCGCGACAAAAGTGTATAATGGTTCGCGTAACAAAACTAGAGCCTCGAGGAATTGATGTCTACTAAGACTGTTAAATTCTCCTTTTCTTCATACACAGTATATGATGTTCATTTTTCTAATACAATAATTGATTATTGAAGAGAGTTAGTCGTAGATTGAACAAAATATTTGTGAATACTGTTTGCATAAGTAATGAACAAACACACGCAAATACATTTGACTGTAGTTTGTTTTGGAAAAGATGATAAAAACAGAATGTGTTTGAATTACCATTTACCCAAAACTATCGTAATTAATAAGATGTGTGCCCAATCATTTTAAGCCCAATAAAACAACACCAATAACTTTATTTTTTAAAAAATAAACTTTAACATTCTTCTTGTTGTGTTATTTTTGGATTTAATGAAAGTGGGCGTTTATATACTTCAAATCGTGATTAATATCGTGTAACAAACGAGTTAATCACGGCAACAAAATTCACAGATAAAATGTCATTGCTTTTATGGTGACATATTGCAATACTTTAATGAATTTTATTAGTGGAAAAATAGATGAACAAGATGTTTTCATCATATACATTTTTTTGATAAGAAATTATGAGAAAAAAATATATTTATAATTCCATCTGGAACAATTAATCGAATTTCAATAATTGAAAAACATTAATGATGATATCAAAATAAAGCTTATTTTTTGTCAAAAATGTCACAAAAACTTCAAGATTGTGTGATGCAAATAGAAATATCCGTTAATCAGTGAATAGAAAGTAGAAAAACTGATATATTCTAATACATTTCAAATAGATTAAAGGATTTGATATTTAAAAAAAAAATGCTGCACACTTTAAATCAGTATGTCAGTCCATGAAGGGCATCGATGTCATCATGATCGCTATATATTATAAATTTAATTAGATTTCCTATAGTGACGGTCATGACTGTAGTTCAATTGTGGCAATATCATTTGATTTCGTAATTTTCGTGGCAATTCAATCAGTAAATTGCCTCATGACTCTCATCAAACATAAAAAAGTTCTGCCACTTGCAATTTCTTTTTTCAATGACACTAAAATCTATTTAAATCGAACGTAAAACAATACTTCAAGCCCAGAAAAAAGCACAGACAAGAAGAGAAAATAAAACCAAAATGTTATGAAGTATACATATGCGATAAAAAAATGTGCATTTAATTGAATTCAATTTGGTCATATAATTGTTGGCTTTAAAAAAGTCAATGTGGTCGAGAGAGAAAAAAATTGGTATACCACATTGGCCAATTCAAAATGTAAAAACCCATAAAAGTACTAGAACCAATTACAATGAGTTTTTAAATTGAAATGTAAAATTTAAAATAAAATGTATTTGCAATGAAGGAGATCGAGCGAGCAGTTTGTAGAGAGGGCAAGAGACGGAGTCGAGCGTCTGCGGTCAATGCTTGCCCGAAACAAACCAAATTGTGTTCTGGCAATGCCAATTTTATTCAGATTCATTTTTGCAACAATTTAAATTTAATTTCGGTTCATTTGGCATGTCTGAGTGTGTGCATGAGCCAAGTAAGAAAAATTGGATGAACACCAGAAAACATTAAATGCAAATAGCTGTATACATGTAAAATCAGATATATTTAATCCGGGTAGAAAATAATTTACCATTGCAAGAATGTAAAAATGCGGGTGCCGTTGTTTTTTTTATTCGCACGAGAAGTAACAAATTGTGGATTCGTGCAAACTGATTCCGGATTTTATAGATTGGGCATTTTGTTTGGGGGCCTTTGTTCGACGTCAAAGAAAGTGAACGGTCGTTAAATGGCCTTTTTCGATTTTTATGGCTCATTCGATACATGATTGACGCAAAAAAGGGTCATTCCGGCAACTTTCCGAAGACCAGCGACAATTCGGTTTTTCTCGGTCAATTTTAATCCAATTTGAATCAAATTGTAAACCTATTATTCTCGTTTGTGATGACATGCGTTCTATGTTTTGATTACGACACAACAAAACGAATCAATTTCATTCGATGACATCATTGAATGTTCACCCTACTGCAGTGCCATTTTCTTCTCCGTCCTCGACTTTCCTTTTCGGTACTTTTATGTTCATTGCTTCGGATAAACACAAATTTCCAAGTAATAAAATTAAATCATCTCTTTTTCTCTCCCGCTCACTCCTTATGTTTGAACAAGAAACGAGGAAAAGAAACTATAAAGCTAACATCGTAAAATTTGATGGTGAAATGTTTCGCATTTCCAAATGCATTCACTGTTGGCCACTGGTCGTTTTGCCTAAAGAGTTTTGTTTCTTTCATTTAATCAAAGACGTTTTAGTGTCATGATAATGATGATTGATCATTGGTTTATGACCCAATTGATAGCATTTTAAGTGAAACCTTTGTTTCGCTAATCGCTTTGATTTCAATCAGAAAATTGAAATTCTCGCATTCTTTTGACCGATATTTTTGAACTTGAGTTTTAACTATTTCATATGTCTTGTAATGGCAGTGTGATGAAATCAAAAAAGTGTGTCAAGTGCAAAGATGGCAGATTTTCTTTTTGAATGAGTTTCGAAAGCGGTCACGCCTGGCAAGCACTTCAATTTACATAATTTAAAACGGACTTGAAGATACAAGGAATTTAAAACTCGATGCTTTCTATGTTGGAATTTTATTGCAGTTCACCCTAAAAAAGCATTTTTCTTACTCCCGTAAAGAATAAATATTTTGTGTAATTAAGTCATCGTTCACTGCAAAAACTTCGAGTTAGATGAACGAATGATTTTTATCGTGTACATCAATTAACCGAATTAAACACTACATTAAGATTTAGTGAAATGATCGTCTTTTCTACGCTTAATTAAGTACCATTGAATATCATTGATTTGACTTCACAATCCACGAGACACGGGTTTCTGTCAACGGTTCATTTTTCGACACTTTCTCGACCAATTTCATATTCATTACATCGCATTTGCATAGCATTGTTTGCCTTTTCCGAGCAAATGTATCCAGAATATTGGCGTCTTCACAGTTTGTTGATTTTTAACGTTCATTTTCAAAACGGAATGAATTGTTTTAAATTCATTCCGTGCAGAAATGGCGCGTAAACTAGATTTCAGCATTCTAACCGTATAATGTAAAAATATTGGCAAGTAACGATGAACTTAAAAAAATGTGTATATAAATCGTTGAAATGGAATTGAACGATATTATGTTGTTTGGAAACATGTTTGAAACTAGCAATATGTCACAGCAGTGGTGCACTAATCGGACAACTGAGCAAACGTGCATTCACTTTTTGTTTGAACCACATGATGCCTTCCATTTTCCCAGCCTTTTTAATCTCACAAGTCAGTTTTTCTCATTAATTATAGTGAATTTTGATATTATATGATATGTTTTGAGAAAAATAAGCGATTAAGTAACAAATTGCTGGTGCGATTCAAGCGCAATAAATGGTTTGTTATTTGTTTAAACGTTTTTTGGGGGCATATTAAAGGTAATTATGAGTTAAGTTTGAATCAACAAACAAAAGCAAAGAAGTAAACCCAAATTCAATATCATATGTTCGGAATGGGCAGAAAGACAATTTGAAGAGAATAAAAAAAACCGATGCCAAAATGTGCCGCCTTACAAAAGGAAGCCAAATGAAAGAGATTTTCGGAACTGCAAGTGGTCTCTCACATGTTTTGCGAACATGTCCAAGTGACTATGTTCAGTGGTTACTGGTGCTACATTCATGCAACAATGTCCATCTTCTTTCAAAACGGCACACTGAAACAAAAAAAAAAAAACGAAATAAGAACACGGAGACGGATTGAAAAATATTTTAGAAAATTTATTGTCGAAAAGTGTGTGTCCTGTGGCGACATTTCGGTCATTTTCGTTGGAATTGAGCAGTCACCGAGAATGAATGGCAAGGAATGGTTTTCATTTACAAAACCAAGCAGGATCCGCATTGGTAAACTCAAACCAAAAATATTGCAAACGATTCTTTTAACGTCTTCTATTCGATACCGATTTCGAAGAATGTTAACGTATCTTTTTCATTTGATGCTAAATGTTGAGCTGATTGAACATGTTGAAAGCAAACATTTTCAAGCGAAATACATCCGTACCACTGTCGCCTTGAAACCTATAGCATTGAGTTATTTGGTCGCGCAAGTGTTTCACGTACACTCGAGTCAGTGAATTGACCATCTCGGAAAAACCACATGCTTTGGTAAAATTGCGTCGGCGCGTGGGTTACATCAAGTAAATAAATATAATATCGAATATAAACATTCCGAAAATGTCAAATATCCACTTAGATTTGAAAAGTGTCTGCTTAACGCAATGTGAATATGATTTATTTGAAACCATCAATGGTTCGAAAAATCGAAACTTATTCATATGCAATTCAATCGAACAACAACAATCTGGAAGCAACAAAAATGAGAGTTCTTTTTTTGAAAATCCAAGAAAAAAATACATCGAATATCATACAACTGCTTTGTTCTGTGCCAAATGTTGAATTGCCATGCCAACAGTATTGTAATTTTTTTTCTTACGGTTTTTTTGGTGCTTGCATTTTTTATGACTCAAAATATGCATGTCTCAAAAAAAATGCTTGTCGGTAACGAATGGTAAAAAATGAAATAGACGAAAAAATGGATCGAATGCAAGGCACATTTTCGAAAATAGAAGAAAAGATAAGAAACTATCATAAAAATGAAATGAAAATTACATGCAGTTGAAGCACTTAACGTCTTGGTTGCATTGTTTCAAAAAATGAACTTGCTTTTCTTCAATCCTTTCACTCAAAAAAGTGACAAAGCAATTGACAAAAAAAACTGTCGTCGTTTTGTTTGCAACTTTACAACCGGGAAGTGGCATACTACAAAATGGAAAAAGAGTTAGGCTGGCATTGCATGTTTTTATTGAAGTGTAAAAAATCGTGTCATAAACTGCTCTAGAAAAAAAACGAGATGATTTTTTTGTCGTATCTTTTGTTCATTTTTTCGAAGTTACAAAATGAAAGGGTTTGTTTATTACATACCTTGAATG